GGCCAATCATCTCCCCGGAACCAAGTCACACATAACCCCGCTGGAGGCGCTGGACGACTGCCGCGATCTCACACGTCGGACGCTAGCCCTCGTCCAAGTACCCACCAGTTAGGTGCAGAATACACGATCCCTCCCACCTGGCGGCGTCCCACATTTTCTCTTTCCGCACGGAGAAGATCGCAGTGGCAAGGGTTTTCCCCTAAACTAAAGCCCACTGCGATAGGACAGCCCAGATATGATTGTGAGGTCATGGTTTTGTTTTTGCTTTAGGTGCATATCAAAAAAATCTCCTCTCAACATCCCTCCCAGACATGCGGATTGACGTGAAGAACAGGGCTTCGGCCCCATCCAGATCCTGTTTTTTTGGCTTCCTGACAAATTTCTAGTCATTAGCAATGCGAAGGGAATCAGGGAGCAAGGCAAACCATCACCTCTTTATCTTTCTTCCAGGAAAGCAAGCAGACAGGCAGGCAGGCGGGCGGGCAGGCAGCAAGCGTAGCAGACAGCCGAACAGACTTACTCTTTGGAGCCAGGAGCTGCAGGGTAGCCTCAATGTCGTCTAAAAGTACAGTGATTATTCCCATGCAGCTAACAACAACAAAAACAACAACAGCAGAATCGACAACAACGAAAAAGTGAGGAAAAATGGAGTAGAGCCTGAGCGGAAACAATGCCTCTTACCTGAATCAAATGACTGTTCAAAAGAAGAATATAGTGACCGCTTGCAACACTCAACCTGCTGACTCCAGCCCAGTCTGGCCAATCACCTGTAATTTTAACTCATATAGGACTTCACTCAGACGGCCGCCGCGTTCGAGAGTGGTCGTGCACTCCTCTGACTGTCAGCTTCATCCAAACTCTGTAAGGAATGTACTACTTCTTCCACACGGCATTCCACTTCGTCTCTTCTCGCACGTAACTGGGCCTGAAGCTCGCAGCTGCAAGGGTCTTCCCCGTTAACTTAAGCCACTGCGATAGCAGAGACCGTAAACCACCCCATCATACCGTTCTCAAAAACACAACCGGCTCGATTAACTGGCTATATTTAGTGTTCCGTTGGTCCGTTTCTATATGGAGAACCAACTACATCCAACTACATACGCTAAAAAAACCGTTGAGGATATCACTATCCTTACTCCAAAAGTCAAGAGGGGCTTACTTACTTTCTTACTCTTCACGTGTACCTCCTAACGTCGGGTGTCAGTGGATGTGGGAAGTTCTGGAATTTTTCGGAACAGATGATAGCTACTGGTCTTGATCGTCTGAAGCGATATCCTCTGGAGATTTGACTCTGTGCAACCCCGCTGCCGGGGTGGGGGGGGGAGAGTGCGTCGGTGTCAAGCGAATGTACTTTTGTCAGTGCTTCTGGTCAGCGTATTCCACATTCGTAGTCTGTCTTTGGTTTTATTTATTTATTATTTATTTATTTATTACTCATTTACTTTATTAGTTTAATTTTAGTTTAGGTAAGTTTAGTTAGGTACCATCAAAGTTAGGTAAATATAATTAAATAACAGTTATATACTAAATCAAACTGACTTAACCAGGCGTTGCGCGAGCAGATCGAGGGCAGAGGTCAATCCCGGCAGGACCGACTTAATTTCACTGTGAACTGTACGTTTTTTCATACCTTGACAATGAGCTCGCCGGGAGAGTTCGAAACGTCGGATAAATACACTCCTGGTCCCAGAGAACGTCTTGCCTTCTTCTATTCAGTTACCTGGGCCTCGTATATTCTCGACCATTCAGAAAATTTAAAACTCTGTCGAGGTGCTCGAACAACTTGCCTTTAACATCTTGGTCCCTTTTCTAAAAAACGTCTGCTTGTTTTAACATAACAGGCAACGCTGCGGCCGACTCCCCACTTCGCATGTGTGCTTCATTATTCTTGAGTATTAATTTTTTCTAAGTACCGTTTCTTTATCATCTGAGGTTCAGAGTCAAACTGGTGCATTTAGTTAATGATGCTGACTCTCAATATACAGGTAATTAGTCGTGACCGCAGAGCTCTCACTTAACCTTTACATACACTTTTTAATTGTTGGATTATCAAATAAAGGAGCAACACTTTTTGTCATAGTTAGGAAAAAAAGCATTGCTTAAGCCAGAAGGTACTGTTAAAAGCGCTCCTATTTTGTCAACATATACTTACTAGTCCGGGGGGGCGCTGGTGGTGGTGGTGGGAAGCGTTATAAGGTCTCTGGTTCTGCATGTAGAGCGCTCATAAGTAATTAGAGCGTTGGCTGTACTAAAGCTCCCCCGTGCTGAGATGGGATCAAATCCCATCGAGGCCACGCATTTTTCCCTATTGGGTCAATTGAATGATACGAAAAAGCCGACTTGCAACGACGCAGACTATGGAAAGTAGCCCATAAAAGCTGCTTTCGTGTGCGCGCGGGAAACCCTGTGCGTATCTTGCAGCTGTCGTGGTCTGTTTTCCCTACTGTTTTCCTTTAGCCCAAAAAGTATTCATCAGACCACCACCACGACCACCCCTGCATCGTTCTTCCAACATTATTTATCGTCCCCTCTGACCAGGGAATAGCGTTCCACTTTCATTACAAAACCACCTGTCAATATGTGGAGCTTCCTGGTGG